ACACACACAAACACAGGTGAGTGGAGGGTTGGCTAAGGCTGCTTTGACTGCATGCCAAACAGACAGTCGCACAAACAAACACCTGACAGTGGCATAATCAGCATAATCAAGACGGACACTAGGCAGATTAGCACACAAACATGGCTACACATGCTTGACATTTACACGGCATCATCCTTCACAGCCACACTTGCAGAAGGTGCACAAACACAACCACAAACACTCACACCGAGATAGGGCACAGGGCACAGGTGACTCGAGGGGTAGCACATGCCAGACGCACAAACACCTGACTTTGGCATTATCAAATTGGACGCTAGGCGGATTACACAAACACTTAATTAATGCAAACAGGCAGAAGCAGGTAAATCAGGCATCACGCTCACACACAAACACACACACCTCATGCACACACATACACACACTGCGGATGGCTACAACAAATTAGGAAGTCTAGCCAATGGCACCTGTGTGCTACATTTCTGTCTAAAGGAGGACTACGCACATCCACAACACTATGGTTGTACATAATTTGAAGTTGGTCAAAGAAATGACTTTGTGCTTATTTTTGATCAAATAAATAGTTTATTGTTTCTTGGTATTACATTCAAATTACAATACAATCATAGTGCCTGGAATACAATGGACTGGAGAGCAGCTACTGAAACTGACAAAACAAACAGAAGACACACATTTCAAAGACATGAGAGGAAGTCTGAAGTAATCATGATCAATGTCTCAAAATCCAAAGGTGTTGAAATACTATAACACAGCATAAAAATACATTTGTCTATTACAAAACTCTGCTGCAAAAACATTTCATAATAATCTATTTTAAATTCTCATGGAAATTTCCATATGAAAATCAATTTGTTTTGCTCTCAACAAAAAGTTTGTTAGGGTACCACAAACTTACAGTAAGTGCAGTAGGTTTACACCATTCAAGAAAAAGCAAAGACTTCGAAATAGGCTGCTTATATTCATGTTTTTAGACGAACAAGGCAAGAATAAAAGACCTCATTTTAGTCCATCAAACCTTTTCCTTTAACAAGCTGCTCTAAAAGCCATACAGTCCTTGTAGTACAAACCAACCATACAATGTACATACTGTACATGTTACGTTAGCATGTCCAACTCCAAAATTGGGCATAAAGTCATAGTTACGTAATGGATAGAATTGTACATGGCACCCAATAACAGGAAGTATGTAAAGTGGTACAAATGAATATTGTACAACAATACTACATAGAAAACCCCTTGTATTCAGGCCTTACAGATACAGACCATAACTCTGCCCAAGCGGAAGCTTTTGCTAAATTAACCAAAAACACAGAAAATCTGTAAACCCTCCAGATAACCATGCAACATTAAATATCTTAGCAAGAAGACCTACAATATTTTAAACAAAAGAAAACCAAAGAATGCACTGACACAGACTGAAGGTTATGACCTTGAGTTTCTCTACCTAAGAACATTTACATAATTTTAAACTTTCACACACACACACAAGTGTGCGATGCCTTATTAGAGAACGTTTACAAACTACAAATGAGTTTCTTCCCTTATGCTTTGCATAGTGCCCTCAGATGAAAGTGCAGGAGTGCCTAACACCCTGTTGTTTCCTTCCTGTCATGTTTGAACAGCCGGACATTGGACTTGCTCTTGGAGCACTAAAGACAATGTACTCTCAGCACTAAAGTATAAAAACACATATAGTTCAGTCAAATAAATATATACTTATTGGTTTTAATATTACTTCTTAAGATTATTTCACATTACTTTGACCCCCATACTAGCCTCTCGGACAAATACACACACATACAGTACACACACACACACACACGTACACACAGTAATCATCTCCTCTCTCAGGTATGAGGAGCACATCACTTCACCACTCCTCTTCAGGGCAGTCGTCATCACCACCGCCTATTAGCGTCATTATTGCCATGCCAGCGACGTACACACACCAAGACACCATCACCATGAGAAAGACTGAGAACATACCAAGGCTACGGTTGCCCCGGACAACAGTGATTGTCCTCTCAAAGCTGGTGCGGGGGGGCAGTGGCGGTGCTTGCTGCCTATCTTCGTCTTCCATGATGCCGAAACGATGACGCAGCTGGTTTTCCTAAGAGACAGCAGAGGGCATGGGTGAGTAAGAGAATGACGGTGGGAAGAGCAGGTATAACGTTTACCATGTTCACCATTGGTTAAGTATGTTAGCATGCTAACGTGTAATTAGCAAGAAATGCAAAGTACAGCTGAGGCTACCACGCAAGGGAAAAGTCAGAACTTGAACATCTGTAGAAAGGTTCACGACAATGCATCTAATAGTTGGCAAGATATTTCACTCTGAACTACAAATGTGAACATCATCCAATATTGGTTGAGATGTTTAACTTGTTGAGATATTTAAGTCTGGATTAACCGACAGGCCGACTGACAGACTGACATTCCTAGAGCCTTGCTGCTAACATGGCTAGGAGGAGTGGTGTTTGGTGAACAAATAAACAGGGCCATAGAGAAGCAGCCATTATGATAGAATTGCAGAACAGAGGCTTTGTTGAACATTCATGGAGCAAATCTTACAACTTCTAGAAAAGTAATACATATTGCAAAGATAACGTGGGTCTAAAGTCCTACTATCATCACAACCAATCAGATTTCTGGTATGAGACAAAAAGTACTTCAAACAACTATTAACTCTCCAAGGTGAAGGCCTTTGGAGTAATTCAGAAATGTAAAACATGCAAGAAGGTAGACTTCTTTGGTCCCCCCAGGCACTTCCCAAAGAAAAAGGGCAACGAGGAGATCGTCTTTGAACCTTCACAGAAAGTACAAGCAGCACTGAAGTTCTGAAGCTACCTTTGCAACAAGCCAGTCTTTGATGAGAACACAGTGACACTTGCTGCTCTGAGTCTCTTTGTGTGTGTGGTGTACGTGTGGGAGACATCGAGGCAGCACTGTTTGTCCTTGTGCTACACCAGGTGCCAATGTCGTGCAAGCGGTAAGCACTTTCCATTGAAAGGCAATTGTGGATAATTAAGCAAAAGCGAGAACAAAAGGCTGCCTCAATAGGATTGAGTTGAAGCCACAATGGAGCAACACGTCTTTGACACTGAGCACTTTCTCTATACCTGACCCAGTGATACTGATACAGGTGGCTCTAAGCTCCCCACTTTAGAACGTGAACCGAGAGAGCAGACACTGTCATAGTAATCTCCTTTAGAGCAACTAAAATGGCTACCCACAGAATCTCGGGTTTGCATGGTAATGAGCAATGCTTCCTGTGCGATGGACTGCAACATTCAGACTGCTGCAGTGTTACTGTAACTGTCACTGCAAATATGTTTGTTGCTATGTCTAAAGCATCAAGCAAGAATATTTTACAAGAATCCTGTTAGATGAATGTGCATGATTATACAACATGTTTATGAAAAAATAACATTTTAAACTATTGAATTAAACAGTAAATGTCCTGCACATAAAACTGGTGCTATAAAAAATGGAAGAAAATCTAAGAGACAAACAAACTGCCCTTTACTCTCCTGTGGATCCAAGTTCTGCTGTTTTTCTGACCATGAAAGCCAAAAACTGAGCAGAAAGTATGTACAAAGAACTAACCCGCAATATTTAATTTTACTGATGTTCATGTTGTGTTGTATGACATACCGTTGTAGTGTAATGCTGCTGGGTGATGCTGTTGTCCTCAGAGTTGAAAGTGTTGGTGTTAGCGTCCCCTGCCTCAGCTAGCAGGCTGACCTGAGTGTGGCTGTCAGTGTCATCGCAGGAAGCCCGTGTGCTCCTCTCTGAGATGGGCGTTAAGCCACCACACAGTTCCAGCTGAGAATACAAAATTTAAAGTTGAAACTAAGGAGTTTGTAAAAAAACAAAAAAACTGACTATGTGCTTAAAAGTGAGTAAATTCACATGGAAGCAAACAGGCTAAAGAAGGTGACTGTAAATTAGACACCCTCTTCTCCTCTCCCCTTCTCTCTCCATCTGTAGTGTGGTCGAGCATTGTGTTCATCTCTCAGCTGCATTAAATATTCAGACGGCCTGTAACTGGATTCTCTGTTCCTTGTTACTAAGCCACAGTCCACAACAAAAGGGGGAGGAAATACTGTACTTGCAAGAAAAAAACATACATTTAAGTAATTGTCTTGCCTGTCAGTGGAAATGAATGTATTTGTAATGAGTTTATTAATATACAATTTCATTTTGGTAAATAATTTTATGAAAAAAAATCCACTTTTGAGTTTATGAGTCCATATACTGCAGCCTATGATAATTAATGTGTTTAGAACAAATTTCCTAGATGAACATAGGGTTGGGCAACGTGGTGATATATACTGTATGACAATATATCGTCAGTGTCTTTGCCATACCATTTATACTTTAGTATTATTTTACCCAACAGTTTCTCATTTAATCTTCAAGAAAACTTTAACATGATTTACACTGATATCGCTAAAATGGAAATTTGCTCTTTATCAAATTGAATTAAGTGCTAAATTCAGAATGTGAACTACAGGGGAAGCCAGCGGGAGCTTTTCTCCTCTTAATATAACACAAGCTCCCCAGAAAACATGAGTTGTGAAATTTTGTGGGGCGGGGGTTCTCAGAAATATTGTCAATATGCTATTTTTTCCATGCACTTCTATCTCTCTGTATCTTCATCATCATGAATCATTTGTAAATTAGACTATTACACATTTGATTCATGCATTAGAGTGATCTAATTCATTTTAATAAAGACACCAGCATGCATGCTATTCTTGCCATCACCACTGAAGAGCATCACAATATCATAAACTCTACTCATTCACTCAGAGATCATTTTCTTAGTCCCACTCATTGCTCTGTTTTGTAGTCAGCATACTGTGAGTCAATCCACAACGCCCCACCCCCCCCCCCCCCCCACTATAAGAAAACATGATCTCCCCGAAAAACCATGGTACAGTTTGCACCCTACTAAAATTTACATCTCTTTACATACTGGCAGTGGTTTGGCAACTCCAATGTGGACAGGGCCATAGCCGGTGGACTTCAGGACGTGCACGGCATAATCCAGGCTGGAGCCTTCCAAGTCTGTTTCATTAACAAACATGAGTCGGTCACCAGGTAGCAGGCGGCCATCTCGATCTGCTACACCTCCAGCCACCAAGGACCGGATTACAAGAACTGTTTTAGTGGCATCTTCTGGATCCTAGAGTTTGACATAAGGATGGAGCGGATGGTTTGTTGAAGATATACATGTGAAATCTAAGATAAATTAGCTACATTGTGGATTGAAAAGACAGTTCAATGCAGTTATACCAGTTATACCATAGAATAACAGGACAAGTATATAGTATAAAACAGCAAACCAGGTGGGGGGGGGGGGAGGTCTCACAGAGGTGCAACCAGCTGTAGTAAAGCTACTATTTCATTATACATGATTTTTGCTACAGATTGAATGTGTATTTAATCTAAAATGGAAAACAGCAATTTAGAGAGTACTCAATAGTTTAGCGCACAAATATAGAGAATACAAGGAGTCCACATGCTTCTATATTTTCTTAGTATGTGTTCATCCTATCCAACCTGACACTGATATTCTTAGACTGCAGCCTATTCCAGTCTGTTCTATTTGTAGAAAAGCTCAGGGGCATGTCTCTGACCTGGTAGTCCAGGATACTGAAGCCCAGTCCCGACTCGCCTTTCTCCAGCTCAACCACCTGAGCCTCTCTTTCCCACATGGCCAGAGGAGGTGACATGGGCGGCACACCACGCTTGGTGATGTCCTCAGCCGTAGGACAGGGAATGACACAGCCCTGGTCCAACTGCGACGAGCAGAGAGGAGAGAGAGGACACAGGAAAGGGGATCAATTTGCAAGAAAGTGTCACGTTGGTGGCGTGTCTGACGTCGTTTCAATTTGTGTAACAATTCTAACATGGTTCATCCATTCATTCATGTGTCCCTTTACTTTGTCATTGAACTCGGCCAACAGCTCTTTCAGGGTGAGATGGACATCATCGTCGTCATCTTCCTCATCACTGTCGGGAATTACAGGGGGTACGATGCGAGAACACACCAGGCAAACGTGCATCGGCAGCTCCTTCAAAATATTGACCACCTCCTTATGTGTCTCTCCAATGAGAGGGATCCCATTCACCTGCCAGGAAGACACATTCATTATTTCTAAACTGGATATTCCTATGGTCAGTGATTGGCTGAGTCATGCTTCTAGCTTTTGAAAAATACCTCTACTGCTAATCAAAGGTTAAAGAAAAAGATTTTATTGTATATTTGTGTCTGTCTGTAACTGTTTCTATGAGTGTACATGACTAAATCAGCCCTAAAATTTGATATCTTGAGTGGTATTTTAGTTTTGGGTATCATGGTGCAATTAGTGGCCAGGCTACACAGAAAGAACAATTAAAGCTGAAAGCAGTAACCGTGAGGCTCGTATAAAAACGGAACTGGACAATGGTTTTGCCGCACTGATGTTGTCTGAAGGAGATCAAAGTGCTGAGCTGCAACACAGATGTTGGCTGTGCACTCAAAGCTACAAAGAACACAAGCCAGTTTGTAGTGCTTTCTATATTGCGAGCAAAGCTACAGTACATTGTCCAAGAGTTCATCAGACTGCTCATCATGATGAGTGCTACGTGTGGGTGCGTGAACTTGCCCAGTGCCCCACTACAGTACAAGCACAAATACACAGAGGCGCACATACTCACACCCACCTTCTTATGACTGTCTGTTGCTGCCTTAAGGGAAACAGTTGCATACTGTACTTGACAATGTGTGGTGTTTACTGCAGATTTATTTTAATTTTATTTTTATTTTTTGTTTTAAAATTCAGTTTAGTTTTAGTTAGTTTCCAGAGTGGATTTGCACATTAAGTTTAGTTTTTAGTAGTTTGGTAAATGGTAAATGTTTAGGTTTAGTTAAGCTTATTAGTTTTGGTTTTGTATTGTAATATGGGTAATAGATATATATGGGTAATATTGTCAGAGGCAATGTTTAAAAAGACATCCCAGTCTCAATAAAAATAAAAATAACATTTTATTATTGTTGTTGTCTTGAGAAATTGACTAAAGACTAAAACTATATACTAACCTGTATATTTTTATTTTGTTTTAGTTAGTTTCACTAAAAAACTAAACTATAATATTTTTCCACACTTGGTTTTGGTTAACAAGTCAACTATAAAAACCTTTGCTTACTGAAAAACACTCAAATTGAGCACAGCATGAGTTCAGGCTGGCCATGAAGTCAGGCTCAGCTCACAGAACAAGCTCTGCTGTATCTGATTTAATCAATGTCCTTTCTGTTGTCATTGATGCCTGCTCTGTTCTGTAGCCTGGGGGTCTTTGCTGCTGCTTTCCATATATGCACTTGGAAGGGCAAGGAGCTCCCAGAACAGAGCCATACTGCCAAATTTAACATTGTGCATTTGGAAATAAAGTATTCTTTTTAAAAACGTTTTCCTGACTAAACTATATTTTATGGTTTAGTATAGTAAGAAACTATGGCTAATCAATCAGTTTCACACAAATTATATCTTACTCCAGTTTACATGATTTCATATCTTGAAAAATTAAAATGAAAAGGTTGCAACAGCAATTGGCCAAAAGGATCAGTCGGTTACCTCCAATATCTGGTCTCCATTGAAGATCTTGCCACTTTGGCCCACAGGCCCCTCAGGTAAAACGGAGCACAGGTAATGATGTCCTGCCCGAGCCTCCAGACTGATACCAAGACCACTTGTCTCACTGAAACGCTCCAGATGACAAACCTGAAAGAGTGATGTGAAGTTGAATTGTGGGAAAAAGAGGAAGAGCAGCAAATTGAAGTAAAATGTGTTTTTTACTTCTTTAAATGAACATTAATTACATGTGGCACTGGATGAAATAAAATGATACAGCATTTAGATAGATTGTTTTTAGAAATGTTTTGACGTACAATAACTTCATATCGCGGCCCGACTGCATGTTGCCACCTCATCCTCAGGTCTTCCTCCTCAGCCGGCGTCAGTTTCACTCCTATAAAATGTGCACACATATAAAGACAATTACCCTCATATCACATACACACACACATATATGCACACAGAGAAAAGCGCGCACATCCCCATTCACATTCCTAGATGATCCAATCAATAAAGAATAGGATCCTATATGAAAACATCACCTCAGCTGTTTTATAGGGAGAAGACAACATAATTCTCCTTGTGGCAAAGCACGGATGTCAACCACAACCACTCAGACAGGCACACACACACACACACACACACACGCCCACACTACAGGCATCCATGAATATTCACACCCACCATCTTATGATTTCTTGGCAAACTAATGTTTTGTTGTTCATCTATTAAAGCCTCACAGCAATCAGGGCTTATTTGGCTTGCGCTCTCTAATCAAGCCCAAAAATGCTCGTCTAAATAAAGCCATATATGCAGGCAGGGTGAGAGACAAATCATCTGGAATGAGCTGAATGAGTTGGATAAACACATGACTGCACAACACTATAAATAGACTCCCATCAAAGAGTATGCTTCGCTGCCACATTGCTGTTCCCTGAGCCCCATCAGCATATCAGACTAAGTCCCATGATCCAGTTCCAGATTGCAGTGCAGTATGGGAAGGGGAGCTTACCATTTCTGGAATCGTGTCGGGGTTTTCTGTTGGCGTATGCCGCTCGCCGGGAGATTTCACGCAGCGAGCAGATTCCTGGGAGACGGAGAAAAACGTTTGAGCATACACGCAGGGATCCGCATACACACAAACATACTTGATTTAAAAAAAAGATCATGTGTACAAGTTCCCAGCAAGCATTTGAGAGATGACAACATGCAGGTGCTAGCAAAGTTCATCATCAGCTAGTTTGAACAGTTATCAGAAGCAGACAGTGCATGTAGCACCTGTGGATGATAACTTGCATGATTATTTTTGTTTAAGTTTATGTTTTCATACTGTGAAACCACATGTTCTCCATTTACTCAGTTACTCTAAAACCAATCCCCTTATGATACAGCTGAGCAAATATGTTCCCCAGCTCAAAGCACCTGTCTCTTGAATTTTGTTGAGGCCCAGTCTGTAGGGATTTCCCTCGTGGAAGCTGTGGGAGTGTCGGAGGGGCTGCAGGGGAGGAACTGGGGGCAGGATGTGGCTCAGACGGACAGACTTCCTTAGCAACCTCAGTCTGACCAGGGGACCCGTCCTCCTCAGCACCTCCATGGCACGCTGCTCACTGCAGCCCTGCAGGCTCACCCCATCCACCTAAGTGAGGGGACAAGAGATGTAAAAGTAGGGAGAGCCTACTATGGTATGCTATAGGGTATGTTGGAGGAAACAGAAGCATTTTTTGTGGATGGAGTGGATGGTATGAAGGTACAGTGAGAGCAGGTAAATTAAAAAATAAAAATCAATAGTAATCAAAAACAAAAATAGAACAAGATGGAAAGCATAGGTAAAAATAAGAGATGATGAAGAGATGGATGGGAGTAAAACTAAAACTATAAGAATTCCCCTTCATCAGCTAAAAAAGACCCTAATTGGTGTGTATGGAACTACTATAAGCTGCAAACTGTGCAGATTTGGAGGTGCTGAAATCGTTAAAATTCAGCAGAGAATATATTTGAGACAACAAGGTATTTGTCGTCAGAGAGCACAATAAAAAAAAAAGAAAGCCATCTGTTGTGTTGTAGTGGAACTCACAGATAGGATGACGTCACCAATGTAGATGCGTCCATCTTGATCGACAGTGCTGCCTTTCACTATGCTCTTCACTATAACACCAGCGCTGTAGACTGAGAAAAGCAAGATAAATTAAAGGAAAACTTTTAGGATTGATTGTGTAAATGGAGCTCTATACTCAAACATCATCAATAATGCCTTACATTAAGGGGGAATTATTCATAACTGTGTTATTTCCCCAGTTTGCCCCCATCAAATAGCTTGGAATAATGATAATCAGCCCATTTTTCACCAAGTTAAAAATTGGTAGATATTATACCTGAGTTTAGGTCGCCTATGTAGCTAGAAATGGTGAATCCCAGGCCACGACTGTTTTTAGTGAACTGCACATTGAACTCATAGTCATCATTCAAGTCGTTGAGCTGGAAAGAAGCACAGAGAGTAACATATAATGCACATCTTTTGGGTTAAGAGAATACTGTGTTACATATTTAATATCACTGATTAGCCAATTATTTTACATAAAGAGTGCATTTGACTTTAATTATGTGCACACACACACACACACACACACACACACACACACCTTGTCTTCCAAGCTGTCCTGGTTGAGGACAGGAGAGGAAAGGTGGTTGTCCTTGGTAATATCCCTGGCGATGAGCAGTTTCACCTTGTTACCAGCATTTCGCAGTACCTGGGCCAGGTGGTCATTTGTGAACGGATGAAAAGTGATAGTGTGTGACAATTAATAAATAAATAAAATAAAAGGAGACAGCTTCCCAAAAAAAGACAGTATAATAGTGCCACCTGTGAGTGTCTCATCAGCTACGTAGGAAACACTCCCAGACCATTCCATAGAGAAGCTCATGGAAGCGGCTGTGTGCTGCAGTTTTTTTATTGGACTAACTATGGACTAACATTGGATACAGACAGTGAAAGTGTCAGACTTCGTAAAACCTAGCTAAACACCAATTACATAAAGCATTATCATTACGGACAAAGAATTTTTACAAACGATACCTTACCTGTGCCACCTGTTCGCTGTTCATTCCCGCAAGATCTGTATCTCCAATGCGCAGGATTTGATCTCCGCTACGCAGGCGCTTATCCTAGGGAACCGTGTTACAACACAAATATTTAGTGTGATCTGAAAATGTACACTTTCTGCATATTCTACTCCACACACTTCACTTAAATAAAAGCAAATGATTGAGATTTTGGGAAATACACTGATTTGCTTCCTTGTTAAGAGTCAGATGAGAAGAATGCCACTCTCATGTAAAATATGAAGCATAACTCTATGTAAAATAAATATTTAAGAGACAGGCATGAAAATGGTATTGATCTTCTCATCTAACCCTCTGCAAGTAAAAAAACATATTCCCCAAAATGTTGAGCTATTCCCTCAACTGGCTATTTAAGGTTTGGCTATGGTTGATTGGCAGGTGGATTTACCTGTCCAGCAGCTCCACCAGGGAGGATGGTCTTGACCATCACTCCTGTGCTCCGGCCTCCTATGATGCCAAAACCGAGCCCTTTCCCATCATTGATCAGCTCTATCATCTCCACATGACGTTTCTAAAATGGCAAAGGTTAGAAGAATAAGGAGGAAGGGAGACAGGAAAGGCGAGAGAAGAAAAATCTATTGTAATTAAACTGGTAACAAAAAGTGAAACCGCATTAAGAGGTTGAAGTGCTACAGTAAACGTGTTTGCTTCTCTTGTTTACTGTATATACCTACATCCACAGACACACTTTCACCAGCTCTACAGAAACACCTCACACGTAAGCTTACTGTACCTCATGAGCAATAGCAGACAGGTTTCTCCCCATCGACATGGTGCGGGAGATTCGAGGGGGAGTGCAGTACTAAAAAATAAACGTTATGTGTAAAACAAAAGCAAACCTGAAATGACATCGAGTTAGCTGAGCAGCCTCTTATGATCAGCTGAAAGCCTCAGTCGATATAATATCCAACTGTGCTTGAGTTTTGTAATGTAATATTCTCAAATGTAAAATGTGACATTTGGAATGGCGGTGTGTTAAATTTTACAATTGAAAGAAAAAATTTGGTTGGTTCATGGACGGAGTGCTTTAAGAATAAATTGCTCCCTATTACTAAACTCCTCCTGAATTATCTCTGTCATTTACAACTGATATTTTACGTACCTGTGATTCAGTGTGAATACAGTTGTCTGGGTAGATGTCTGTGAAGGACAGATCCTGTGATCCCAGAGAAGATATGCTGCCATCCTTGTGGACGGATCTGGCAGTGCTGGGCCTTCGGTTCTCCATGGCCCATGTGTAGGAGTCACTATGACTCATGCCCTGTACCATGCCCTGGCAGGGGCCACAGTTCATTGAAACAGATTTGGAAATACCCTTCCCCTGGTTAGACTGAGAGAGCAATAAGGGATGGATAGGTAGAACACATGGAGAGATGGGAAGTAGAGGATAAAAGTGTAAAAATGGAGAGGATGCAAGTAAAAGAGATGGATCAGGTAGGATAGAGAGGGAATAAAAGAGTGAGAGAAGGATTGGGGGAATGCAAGGGAAGGGAGAGAGAAAGATTGGGTGGGAAATAAATGAGGGACATAAAAAGATGGAGAAAGGGATTGATAGAGAGGGGGAGACATTAATTGAAGAAAGGAGATATGGACACATAGAGGGACAGGATAACGGTAAGGGAGTGATGAAGGGAAATAGAAGGGATAAAGAAATTGAAAAAGGAGGGCATTGTGAGACAATGAACAAAGATGTGGGAAGGAGAATGGGGAAATGTGTGTTAGCCAAAGAAAAAAAGTACCGAAAGATAGCTTTAAAATGGAGCAGAGAGATAGGAGAGCAGGAACACATGGACCTGGGATAAATGCTTCTGCTCAATATGTAACCACAAAACTGTCCCCTTTTGTCTTTAAGGTTTTCTGTTTCAAAGTTTAAAAGGGAGTTTCAGAAGATGCTTATTTCTGATCTGTATGCTAATCCTTTTTAACAACTTTGACATCTGTTACAATAGCAGTAGTAGAATAAAAGACAGAATACTAATAAGCAACTTCTCACTCCATTAATTTACACTTTCTCAGTGCTATATATAAAAAACCTCTGAATTTAAGAAATAAAAACTGTGTCACTGCCTGTCCTGATAAAAATCCCAAAGCCTTTGACATAATCCAGTTCCGTGTTTCCTGGAATGCAGAGACGCTAAATGGCTACAGACTCACACCACACAATGCTAATGTAATAATGCGTTGTGTGTGTATATCTGTGGCGCTTATAGGGTTAGCCTATTACAGTACACCACAACAGACAGTCACAAAGCCGTGATGATTACAGACTGCCAAATAAGTTAAATGCCTTGATGGTTTCATAACTGTAAACAATGTACATATGTGTGAACATACTGTGGTGGGCTATGTGCGTGAATAAACACTGCTTGGTGACTTATATCGGCCACCACCAGGACCACATCCCACACACACATCAGCTCAAAACTTATAACAATGTTACAGATGACTTTTACAAACTCCTAGACGTTATATGTAGCCACTTCTTCCTTCCCCTCTCGCTCTCTCACTCTGTCCCTCTCTCTCTCTCTCTTTCTCAGGGCTTTAGTGGTAAGCTTAGGTAAGCTGATTACTCATCCAGTTTGGTTCCTGCATTCAGTATTTTGGGAATGATTCCGGCTCGTTCCCTACCATTCAATATACACCAAACGCCCACACACTCATGCTCATGCTGTACCTTCGCTGGGGGCTTCCGCTGAGCTTGCTGTAAGCTGAGTATATGATGGAACAGGGGGCTCTGCAGGACAGTCTTTAGCAGGGAGAGTTTCTCCTGTGTGGGGGCCTCTCCTCTCTCCTTCAGTTTGGCTTGCAGTCTCTCCACAGCCTCCAAGGCACGCTGAGTATCTGCAGCGGAATCATATATCATTTGTGTCATTTTAGAAACAGGTTTCTCCCCCGTTCTGGCTTTGCGTTAGTTTCAACATGTTGCAGCAGATGTTGTGACCCTGACACAAAGCCGGACTTTTGAAAAAAAGCTATTAATGTCAAAGGGGCCGATGGAAAAATAAAAATATTTTCTCAAGTCTTGCAAAATGACTTAAAATACAACGTTTGTCATTATAATCCAGAATGACATCCTCTGTCAGCACTGATCCACAGTGTGATGAGTATTAAAAACAAACTGAGGTTTGGAGGTTTGAGTGGACAGGAAGTGTGCTTGTCTGAAAAAATATCCCTGAACCATGGCTGCTAGAGAGTGAGTTCTCTCAATTCCAAGGTTTTTTAAACACTGTCACATTTTCTGCCAAAGTTATTCAATTAAAAAACCTTACCAAGAAAAGAATGCTAAAGAAGGATGTGCCGTCAATTCTGCAGCACTAAAAAGCAAAGGCAACGACTGAAATGTGGTGTCAGGTCATATTGCCCTTGTTTATTAACTGTGAGCTTAAGTGTGAAGCTAATGAGCACAAGCCACAATTGCAGTAATTGTATGTGGCAGAAGGTTAAGACCCTGTAAATTCTTCACCGCAAAGTTTTGACTACCGACCAGACTGTGAGTCCTGTGCCACCTGTACGTGTAATTATTCCCTCCTGTCTGGCTGTGGCACCCATGCCTTACACCCTAATTGTAAGCCTCTGAAGATGGCAGTTGTGGGGAGTCTTACTTACTGAGGTTACTGGAACATGTTTGGCTTTAAACAGTACTCTACATTTGCAGGTGCACTTACCCATGATCTCCATCGTAGCCTGACAGATAGTTTGGGTGAACTGTTTCTTTTGTGACTCTCTGTCTCAGTTAAATGTCATTCTTCTCTTTCTGGCACCTGCAACATGAAAAACCACAAACAAGCCTCATACAGATTATACATACATACATACATTTACACTGAATTAAGGTTTCCTGTTGATACATATTTATTACAATTATGGCTGACACTTTTAATAGTCTGTTAGTCTGTATATTTTACATCTGTTATGTAATATGTATCATTTACCTACATCTTCTCTTCCAAGGCCATGCTTGCTTGCAAGCGCCTTGCTTGTGCACTAATGCTCTTAGCAGGATTTAAATCTTCTCCAAAAGGCTTTATCAGCCAGTGATGGTAATTATCTGCGACACATGGCCTCCCGACCATTCTGACTTGAGGGGGAGCCTGTATAGCATCAAAGCATGATACCAATGACATGATTTGATTTGTAAAACGATGGGCTGGAAATGACAACGTCTCATCTGAAATCTAATTAGGGGCCATTGATAGGCACAAGGGGTATCGCAGTACTTATATGCCCTTCACTGCAGCCTAATGAAATCAGTATCTTATACCTGTTAATATCAAAATGATGTTGACTGCTTCAGAATAATAAAAAAAATCATTACAGTTAAAGGATTTACAGTAATTATCCAGGCCCATTAGCTACTACTTTGATATGTAATTTACAAGACAGTCTGATAATTTCTTTAGAAATGACCTGGCCACATTAGACCTATTACTGTGACGAACAGACGGACATCACGGACAGTTGACAATCGCTTGTTGCAGAAAGCCTCATCTCACCTCCATTGCAGCGCTGGTGGGCTATCAACAGGTCCCCACTGAGCTCCAAGCACAGCAGATTCACCACCTCCACCAGTCCGCAGGGTGAATTTACCTGTACCAAATACAAAGAATGACACTTTCCCGATGGGCCAAGTCATAACAGCTTATGGAGAAACGGCCAGATATCAAGAAGCAAGCTGTGCGCTTTATTTTCCAGCATTGTGTCCGCGGCTTGTGAGCGCTCCGCGCAGTGCGCATGTCACCCTCTGATCTTCAGGCACAGAGGGCTCATCCCTAATGAAAAAGAAGTAGCCTACACTAAGTAATCCTGTAATGCATCAGCGGGACACTCTGCACATAATGCTTATAAATATTATGGTGACAGCCAAGTAAAGTCCAAACTCGCTCCTGCACAGACCATGTCCAGTGACTACATTAGAGAAAAAAATAATGATTTAAAAAAAAGTGAGAATATCATAAGAAAAGATATAATGTAAAAGTAGATTACCATGGAAGGGTATTAGATATGTATTTATTATAATTTACGCATATTATCTGGAGGAAAGTCAACATTTTTTTTATATTAAATGACTCATTTTAATTTTTCTACTTCTACTTGTTTTTTATTTTCCATTGCTTGTAAGAATTCTATCAATTTCTCGATGTTTGCCTAGTAGACCCCTAGCGGGCACAATGCTTTTGTCTTGCTTTCTAAATCCCAAACTGGGGTCCAGGGACCATAACGAGCCATTTAATGGATGAGGATTGTGATTTCACTTTTATTCCGCTTTATTCAGCTGGGAATGTGACAATGAATGGAACTGTACCAACTGTATATATTGCAGTTGTCACCCAAAGGCACAATGCAATCATACAGCAAGTCATGTTTAACAACAAAAAAAGCTCCTCTTAGTTTGGAGCTTCTTGAGTCAAAATCATGTCCACTGGGGATCTAATGGATTTCGTTAAACCGTCCTTGCCGTGAAAATGTGGGAGCCCCCCCGTGTGTTTTCACACGGCAGGTGGAGCCCTAGGTCCAGAGATTTAGGAGCCAGATCCAGTTCCATGTTTTCCACCAGACACCCCACTTCATCTCTTCCTCTCTCTCTCTCTGCATCCCCCAGGCAGGAATCATCACCCCCTCCCCACCCACCTCCCTACCCACCCTCGGCTCCCCGCCCGCCTGCAACGCAACGCTCCTCTCGCCGGGCTGCGCTCGATCAACCGAGCATCCACCGCGCCTCCAAATTGGTTTGTCATTTCTGACCCCTCTCTCTCTCCCTCCGTGTGTGTGTGTGTGTGTGTGTGTGTGTGTATGTGTGTGTATGGGTTTGACCACGGTCCTCTGCTCCGCTGCGCTCTGCGTCTGTGGACTTCAGCAGAAGTCAGTAAGAACATAAAGGCAGCCGGGAAAGATAAAGACAGAGAGAGAGAGAGAGAAAAGGGAGGGAGGGGAGGAAGAGATACAGACAGACGGATAGAGAGAGAGAGAGAGAAACGCCTCTGTCCTCCTCCAGCACTTCACTGGACTTCAGTGCATTTGCACGGACGCGATACATCCTCCTGTGTGAGCGCTGATCGGGATACTAAGCACGCAGCTATTGGTTTATTACACCCTCAGCTTTATCTCCATCCTCTCTTTCGGTCATTTTTACCCACGTCGTTTTTTGTTTTTTTTTGCAGCAGCAGAAGCATAAAAGAATCAACCACAGACCCGGAGTCGAGGCGGTGAAATTATTCATCGACTAGGAAGAATTATTTCGATCCAAAGATCTGCGTTCTGTGAGGACTGTATGAAAGAGCGCAGAAAAGGTTATTCCTGACTCCTCTGTGCGCTGGATGTGTATATATGCGCCCATATCGCTGCGACTGGTAATACGGTAAGGATCCGCACTTATTCCTTCACATGTGATGTTTTTTTTTGTGTGCAGACATCGCTGGCGAACGTCGGTAAACCTCTTGGCTATATGCAAACCTGTGTCTGTCACTGACCTGCTCTGAAATAGCCTAACGTTATGGCAGCGCTGACTTTGGTTCTCACGGATGCCCATGGGAATGTGGCCTGCGATTATTGTACTTCAGGGGTGCAGAAACTGGCCCTAATGGACCAGCGGGGTAAAATGTAATATAGTTCCCGTAATATGTTCCGATGACGGTCCGGCGACTTGTGGCTGGATGGGCGTCGCTTGGATGCGAGGTGTCGCTGAGGAGTAATAAGCAATGATACCTATTATCTCTCCGGCGAATAATCAATGCAATCACATTATTCCATGACGGCTTGTCGGCCAAGGTGTACACATAATTATTATTCTGTAGCCGCGTGTATCTGCCTCACTGCAGGGCGCAATGACAAATCGCACGCTTTGGCATGATGGATGACAGATTAGACGAAGTGTTCCTCGGGGTTTTTTTTTTGGGTCCTATTTCATGTGCCTGTCATTTGAGTATATTGGAATGCAGTTAGCTAATTTCAGGGCTGTGTTGGTTTGTCAGCCGCAGTCTAAAATCCAGAGTAAATCCAGCTACTCTGTAGGAAAAGGAGCATCCAGCAGGCCAGTGCACCCCAGGATACGTCAATCATGCGGATTCATGAGTGAAAGCTATGGCTCTTATTTACTGGAGAAGAGGCGTCCCGGGGTTGCAGATGACCTTGATCTGCTGCTGAAAAACTACCGAAGGTTGCACAATTTTTTTGAAAAGAGCAACCCTGCTTCAGATTTCTGTGACCACAGATGTGTGTGTGCACTCTTTGCAATCAGCAAATTTTCCCCTTTAACAAAAGCAAGTACTCATAGCCTTAAATCTCTTTGTGCCTGCAAACTGGTGATTAACTATATGGTTAATCATAGGTGGTCTGCCTCACAAATGAATGCAGATATCTAGCAATCAAACCTCAATAATCACTTGCTGTCTGGGTCTGCTTGGGTGGCCGCAGACTGGCCCCTTTGAATCAGTACTCTCAACATTCAGATGACAAATCAGTAAAGATGAGTGCGAGAAGCTCCTCTGTATCTTAGTGTTCAGTGTGATATAAAGGCTGAATGTAAGTTATACTTATAGTATTGGTTGGAGTGGTTTACGATAGGCCTATGTTGACTCATCTGTGAATGCTGCATCTAAGAAAAGTGGCTTCAAGGAATCCACTGAGCAGGTTGGAAAATGGTCAGTGCAATTATCTGTATGTCTACATTGGAAGAAATTTGACATAGATTTGCTTGGCTGCCATTTTGGCAGCATCTGGTAAAGCACAGGCCTGTCTCCAAGGAGATTATTATATTTGTGGATGAGATAAATATCACTAAATCATCTGTCATCAGTGCATCTGTTTGTGTCTAAGTGATCCTACAGTTCCTTGGTTGCATTCGTACGCCAAGTTGATTGTTTGTTGTAAATTTTTGAGAAGGAAGGGGAAAAAAATATAGTATTTTGCTGTTCAAGTCCTGGAGTTGTTGGCTGTAGGTGTCTGACAAGTTGTTTATTTAGTTTTAACAGTGGAGAAAAATGTAGCTTCAATAGTATTTGTGTTGTTCCTGTCCAAACTTACACCAGCTACAGTGGATGCTTTTGGTTTACTTTTCTGACAGGCCTTGGTAGCCTCTCCCAAGGGCCACGGGATGTTTGTCAGACATCACACCATGAATGCAAGGTGTGTCAAAGAGCATATTGGGGCACGTTAAGTAAGTGACACCCATACGGCAGCACTGATGTTGCCGAAGAACCTGAAGCCATATAATGTGCAACAGCAGCAATCAAGCATTCTGCTGACTGTACGTCTGTCTGTTCTCCTTTAATTAGGTCACTGATCATTTTCACTTGTTATGATGCACAAGAAAAGACAAAAGCTCCTTGGTGGGGAAAACAGGGTGCAAATTACGATGGTTGTGCTAATTCGGATTGTTCTGCTTGATTGACCGTGGGCTGACTTTATTTGTTTAGAGCTGTTAATGTAACAAAATATTTGCTTTAGATCTGGTTGGCTCCAAAAACATTATCTAACCCTGCAATGGAAGCAGCCTGCGATTTGAACAAGGGATCGTATGTTAAACATTTTGCGTACACGCTGAAACCCTGAGATAATGAAAATATACCTCGGCAGACAACATGATCCATTGCAGACAGGCAGTAACGGACACATACACACTAGAATATTAAGACAAGCAGGCATATAATCTGTTTGTTGAAGTCTCTATTTCCGTCATCGTCAAGGGTTATTAGAGAGTGTAACTTCAACACTTGTGCAATTAATTCAGTTTAGTGGGCACATAGAACCTAAGGGCTGATTTCCCCAAAACCATTTTAACAAGCGTTTAAAAAAAGTTCCTTGGATTCAGTCCTCTATTTAGTTAATTTATGCATAGCAAGGTAAAGGTTTGTGTCAGAGAGCCTTGTAGATAAACAGAATGTGCTGTTTATTGTGCGCACTGAGACAACCAACCTTGCTGCATAAATAAATTGTCACTCTTGTGGGTTAAGCTGTGAGAAAAACCAAAACAAATCCTAATTCTGCAATAATAATATTAAGTTTCAATGAAAGCAGAGCTGCTGAATTTCACTGCACGGCACTGTTTCCTAATGCGATGATGATTCACATTCCTAGTCCCAGCCCCACTTTGTGTGCTGAGTTTAACCTAATTCAAAAGCCCCTTCCTGTGCTAGACGACATCTCTCTCCCATATTGAAATAATGAGGCCAGATCCTTGCCCGTCTTCCTCATCCACCTAAAGCACTCGGTCATGTGTTAACACATCCTTCCTCCTACCCTCTCCCGTCCCTCAAAGAAAACCCCGGCTCTGTGCATTTTCCACCATCGACTGGAGCTATCAGCTCAGTTCACCTCTCTTAATGTGTGAAACTCGCCTCCTGATATCATTCAACCCTCTTAGAGGTTCAGACCATGTAAGAGGTCTACGTAGTTACTTTGCTACCTGATTAAATCTATGCTTAGGAAACGGGGAAACCAGTAGTGGACGACTGGCTGTCAGATCTCAGGGCATTCTCTGACTCATTGCTCCTATGGCCTCGACTAGAATAGCCCGCCAGAGATAGATGTCTTACTCTGCCTAAATATGGAACGGTTTGAAGGCTTTCTGCTCGAACCACCACAGCTTATTATCTGTCTGCGTTTTGTGGCCGATTGGAAGAAATGTACACTGTTGGCCTCACTGCTCATACCGTCTGTTAAGTGGGCTGTTTGTGTGTATCGCTGAAAGTCATACATGTTCCTGCTCAGTGGTTATTGCATTGTTTAGCAGTACATTGTAATCAATCTACTACAGCACCAATAATGGTTCTCAATCAGTTTTTCTAAAGTGTATGCCAAATTAAATCTAATAATTTGAGTGAATCGATTAGTGTATTATTTTGTTAAGCAGTGAAGTAATTTTTTAAACAAATACCAAACATAACCTTGTCCCAGCTTCTAAATGCTGAAAGTCTACTGATTTTATTTGGCTTATTTAATAGTACATTTAATATTATTTGGTTTATTTGGGTTTTGGTTGGACAAAATAAGCACTTTGAAGATGATTTGACTTTAGGAAACCTTGATGGTAATTTTTAACCATTTTCTGGTACCACTACTGCTACTACTACTAATAATAATATTAATACAATACAGTATATTTTTTACGAAGCACTCCTGAAAAAGCAGAAGCAAAGCTGTTGAATAAGCTGAAAAGCCCTCAAACCTCCTCAAAGGTTGGTTTGCATCTTGCTTTTAGTCACAGTTTTGTAACAGCCAAATTTAACAAGCCCAAGCACCTTAAGTTGTGATCCATCTCACACGGGATAACAATTATTGAGAAATCAATCAGTGTAAATTAATTCTGAAATTACCCCACAGCCATTTATTAGGGTATTAAAATTGTGGCAATGTGATGATGTCCTTTGCTCTTCCCTACTTTGTATTTCTTCCTACCTTCCTATCATAAAAATCCTAAATAGATAAAATATTGAATAACATGAATTGTACACTGTAAGACTAAGCACATGCTGATGGCTTGTACTCCACCGTCTCTTTGCTTTTCCTTCGGAGTGATCAATGTGCGAGGCTTAGGTTGGTGAAATCAATGTCACATCTCACAATAATGTTTTTTATAAGACAGACTTTTATTTGTTTTGTTTTGACCAGTTGACCTCGGTCTTGGTTGCAAAACACCTTAGAATGACGTTTTGAAGAGGGCTATGTAACATAAAGAAGGTTATTATTGTGCCATTCTGAAGTGGAGTGAGGAGGCTGTGAAAAGGCGCATTTGTATAATTTTTTACACAAATATTCTAGGTAACACACAGTTTCCATTGTAAACTGTGTGTTACCTAGAATAATTGTTTTTGCAACTCAAGTCTGAGCTGAGATATAGATTACAAAGTGTTTCTGTTTATGTTCATGTCTACAGGCTAACTCAGTTTTATTATACAAATGGCCTGTACCATCATCACTGGATTTGTCAATGAACTGCATGTTTAAGCAGCTGCTGTCTACGTTAACTACTGTATCCACAGCCTATTGTTCTTTCAAAACCTCTCACTCACCCAGTAGTTGTTATCCCTCTTTCACAAAGAAAAAACACTTGTTCTTCCAGTCAACACATCTCCTGTCCACACTTCTTCTCTATGCCCTTCACCTCCATGTGCCCCACTCAAAGCTGTCACCACTCAATAGAAAAACACACACAAACACACACACACACACACACACACACACACATGCATGCATTTCTTCCCACAGATACTGCTAAAAACACCACATCCAGTCGAGCCTCCGTAGGCCCTACCACCACATACTAGGCCTCAGCCACCTCCTCTCTTCTGCCGCACACACACGCACACACACATTCACACTACTATGCTCACGCACATGTATATGCTCACACACCCACAG